AAGATTGCTGGAGTAACATCATCAACTTCAGATATGCAGATGATATCTCTCTGAGGGCAAAAAGTGAAGAAGAACTAAAGAGCCTCTTGATGAGGGTGAAAATGGAAAGTCAAAAAGCTGGCTTAAAACTCAACATTAAAAAAACTAAGATCATGGCATCCAGTCCCAGAACTTCATGGCAAATAGATGGGGGAAAATTGAAAACAGTGACAGATTTCATTTTCTTGGGCTCCGAAATCACTGTAGAGAGTGACTGCAGCCACAAAATTAAAAGATGCTTGCTCCTTAGAAGGAACGCTATGACAAAACTAGACAGCATGGTAAAAAGCTGAGACATCAGTTTGCTGACAAAGGTCTGAATAGTCAAAGCAACAGTTTTTCCAGTAGTCATGTATAGATGTGAGAGTTGAACCATAAAGAAGGCTGAGTGCTGAAGGATTAATGCTTTTGAGTTGTGGTGCCAGAGAAGACTCTTGAGAGTCCCTTGGACAGCAAGGAGATCAAACCAGTGCATCCTAAATGAAATCAACCCTGAATATTCATTGGAAGGACTGATGCTGAAGCTGAAGCTCCAGTACTTTGGCCATCTGATGAGAAGAGGTGACTCATTGGAAAAGACCATGATGCTAGGAAAGATTGAGGACAAGAGGACAAGGGGGTAGCAAGTTGAGATGGCATCACCAACTCAGTGGATATAATTTTGAGCAAACTCCCAGAGACAGTGAAGGACAGGTAAGCCTGACGTGTTACAGTCTGTGGAGTCGCCAAGAGTGGACATAACTTAGTGACTGAACAACAGGTATCTCTATAAGTGGGATTGAAGGTCCTTGACATATTTTGGGACTCTACTGAATGATTGAAATTTCTCCTATGGGCATCTTGTCTCCAGATCTTCCTTTTATGTTTTCTCAGGCCCTTACTTGATCCAATTGCTATGGTAACTTCGGGCATAATTGTTACTGATTGTTTTCAACAAACATCCTAGTGATAGTTATTTTCCTTTGAGTCAGTTGCTTAGATTAAAGCAACACCGTGCATATTGAGTTCTTCAAGGGAGTTTTGAGACAGGTTGCACAGTAACAATGATCAGGGATGAGACTTCTTTTTGAAGAGCTCCAACCTCAGTCTATTCCTACCTGTGGCAGCAAGCCTGAACATTTTGTATGTCTACCTTGGTTGCAAGGCAGTTAGTTTTCAAGGCTACTGCAGAGCTATGGAGAAGAGGAGGGGAGTTACAACATAAAAATTACAAGGCTGCAAACTCTACTGTTCTTACCAAGGTTTGGAAGCTTTTTTTTTTTTTTTGCTTTGTCTTCATTACTGCATGTGCTCATGTGTGTGCTTTCTACTTGCAGCAAGTGGAGGCTACTCTATAGTTGCGGTGCACAGGCTGCTCATTGTGATGGCTTCTCTTGTTGAGGAGCACAGGCTCTAGGGACACAGGCTTTAGTAGTTGAAGCATGTAGGCTCAGTAGTTGTGGCTCTCAGGCTTACTTGTTCCCTGATATGTGGGATCTTTAAGGACCAAGGATTGAATCTGTGTCTTTTGCATTAGCAGGTGGATTCTTACGCACTGGACCACCAGGGAAGTCCCTGGAATCTTTTCTTATGTAAACACCATTAAGATTGTTGCAAGCTTTTCTTTCAGTTCAGTTCAGTTCAGTCACTAAGTCATGTTCGACTCTTTGCGACCCCATGAACCGTAGCACACCAGGCCTCCCTGTCCATCACCAACTCCCAGAGTTTATTCAAACTCATGTCCATCGAGTCGGTGATGCCATCCAGCCATCTCATCCTCTGTCGTCCCCTTCTCCTCCTGCCCCCAATCCCTCCCAGCATCAGGGTCTTTTCCAATGAGTCAACTCTTTGCGTGAGGTGGCCAAAGTATTGGAGTTTCAGCTTCAGCATCAGTCCTTCCAATGAACACCCAGGACTGATCTTTAGGGTGGACTGGTTGGATCTCCTTGCAGTCCAAGGGACTCTCAAGAGTCTTCTCCAACACCACAGTTCAAAAGCATCAATTTTTCGGCACTCAGCTTTCTTCACAGTCCAACTCTCACATCCATACATGACATCCATAAAGCTTTTCTTTAGTTAGCTGCAATTCTGAGAAAGTTAATTTGGACAACTTTTCCCAGTGTTTTTATTGGTTTTATATAGGTGTGAAAATGGTTATTCTAAACCATTCCCTGCTTTTGTTTTCCAAGTGGCCTGTTTTTATTATTTAAAATGTGTTTTTTGTTTTAATTGATCTTGTCCTTCTCACAATGTGATCGCTGAGTCAGCAAAATCACCATCACCTGGGAGCTTATTAGAAAACCAGAATCTCAGGCCCACTCTAATGCAGTTGAATCAGAATCTGCATTGAACAACATCTCCAGAGTATTTATTTGTACATTCATGTTAAAGCAGTGCTGGTATAATTCAAGAGTGATCAGAGTTTAACCCATAGACAGGCTATTTAAAAAACATCTGAAGAGTTCAATGGAGCCCATGCCAGACTTACGAACCCAGAATTCATACAAATAGAAGCTTGAGAATCTGCATTTTGAACAAGCACTCCAGATGATAATAATGCACGTTGAAATGTTAGGACCACTGATTTAGAAACTGCAGTAATCAGACAGGATCTTTTTTCTGTGTTAATGGCAGTTTATATTTCATTTTTAAAGTTAATATATCTATTTTGAGGAAAGTATGTTCATTGTAATTAAGCAGGGACTTTTTAAACAGAAGCGTACAGAATGCTATTTTATCTCAAAATGGTACATGTTTAGTATGTGAGAAACCTGATATTTATTATGTTGGTTTAGTCTTTTTATTTGTGTGTCAAATACTATTATGCTTGTGATTGTTTTTTAGCCAGAACAAATTATTCCCAAAATAAATTGCCCAGTGATTCACCTTGGATTTACAGAAATATAAAGAAATGTTATAAATGTTCTCTGCCTCATAATTGTATGAAATTTAAATGAGAATTTAGTGCATGACTTTAAATATAAATTGCTCTCTGGAGAGGATTTATTCCTACATTTGCTTAACTGTAAATTTATATAAGCAGTTCTTCTAGTTTGATACATAACTTTCATCATTCATAGTTTGCATTTTTTTACAGTTAATTTTGTCTTATGTAAAACTTCTTAGTATTTAATATTTATAAAATCCTTTACAATATGAAGGCATCAGAAATAACAAGTTAAACCAAAAAGACAAAAACTGATACCAACATTCAAACATTAAGATATATAAATGTATTGCATTTTAGTTTGTATATGCATGTTCATGAATGTGTGTGTATTTTTAGACTAAAACATTTGATTGATTTTATTACTGATTTATTTTCCACTATCAAGCAAGTATTGTGAGATCTTAATAACTGTTACATAATAAAAAAGATTTCTCTTAACAAATTAAGTTTAGATAAATCTGTTCTTAACAATATTGTACAGATTCAGTTCAACTCTGCAAGAGGAATTAGGCATTCCTGACATGATTTTTCATGAAATCTTTACCCTGCCACTAGGGTGTCATTTCCATACTATCCTCTACTACACTGTGGGCAACCTAAGGCTTCAGTCAGTTCAGTCACTTAGTCGTGTCTGACTCTTTGCGACCCCATGGATTGCAGCACGCCAGGTCTCCCTGTCCATCACCAGCTCCCAGAGCCTACTCAAACTCATGTCCATTGTGTTCATGATGCCATCCAACCATCTCATCCTCTGTCATCCCCTTCTCCTCCTGCCTTCAGTCTTTCCCCATCAGGGTCTTTTCAGTTGAGTCAGTTCTTCACATCAGGTGGCCAAAGTATTGGAGTTTCAGCTTCAACATCAGCCATTCCAATGAATATTCAGGACTGATTTCCTTTAGAATTGACTGGTTTGATCTCCTTGCAGTCCAAGGGACTCTCAAGAGTCTTCTCCAACACCACAGTTCAAAAGCATTAAGTCTTCTGCGCTTAGCTTTCTTTGTAGTCCAACTCTCACATGCATACATGACTACTGGAAAAACCATAGCCTTGACTAAACCGACCTTTGTTGGCAAAGTAATGTCTCTGCTTTCTAATATGCTGTCTAGGTTGGTCATAGCTTTTCTTACAAAGAGCAAGAGTCTTTTAATTTCATGGCTGCAGTCACCATCTGCAGTGATTTTGGAGCCCCCCAAAATAAAGTCTCTCACTGTTTCCATTGTTTCCCCATCTATTTAACCTAAGGCTTGGAAGATAGCATATTCATGTTTGTACTTTCCAGTACCTAGTCCTACACCTAACATGTAATGGGGTCTCCATAACTGTTTCTTGAAGGAATGACCTTTTTTATATAGGAAGGACTGAATTTCTGTTTGATTCCAGATGATGGCATAATTATCAGCGCATTGATTTTACTAGGTACCCAAATTTCATGTCCACTCCTAAGAGAAATATTTCTCTTTTCTAGACATAAGATTTTTGTTTTTGTCTAGTTGCTAAGTTGTGTTCAACTCTTTTGTGACTGTGGACTGTAGCCCACCAGGCTCCTCTGTCCAAGGGATTTCCCCAAGCAAGAATACCGGAGTAGGTTGCCATTCCCTACTTCAGGGCATCTTCCTGACCCTGGGATCAAACCCACATCTCCTGCATTGACAGGCAGATTCTTTACCACTGAGCCACCTGGGAAGTCCAGATTAGAAATTATTAACTATGTATAACTCTGACAGTGTATTATGGTCAATGAATAATTTCCTCTTTCTTTTTGGAATATAATTTTGTTGGTCATTTTTGCTCTAAGTTTCCTTCTTATGAGAATTCAGTGTTGACTTTACATATAAAAATATCATTTTTTTTACCTGTTTCCATTCAATATCTTTTATTTCTAACATGTTTTGAGTTACTGAATGAGAGCACATGAACTGTTTGAACTATAACTTATTCTGATTCTAATTATATTTTATGATAGATGGAAATGATTTACAGGAAGAATGTTTTGTGGTCATCTGAGTCATAATCCTTTTTTCATGTATTTTAGTGTCATTCTGGTGGAATCCTCAACATTTATCTCTTTGCCATCCCAATTAACTGAAGTTGAAGAATCTGTTGACTTCTTGAACCGCGGGTAAATTTCTGTATATGCGCTTGATTATCTCAGGAAAAAAAATTGAGAAATTAGCCTTCAAGTAAATTTGTTGCATAATTACATAGTAGTTTCCATTTACTTGAAATATTTATATTATATTATATATATTATTTATATTATTCACACTGTTATTCTCTTTATGTATTACTAGGTGTATGGACATGAAAATTGAATACATGTGCACTTTATTAAATACAATAGATTCCCATTATTCATGGTATTTATGGTATATAAAATTGCCACAAACAGTTAGTGAGTATTGCACTGTTCCTCTGAGGAGAAATATATATAACCATATACACTGTAATTATAAATCCTAAAAACAACCCAACCTGGTAGATTCTACTTTCCTTATTTTACACGGAGAAAATAAAGTTCAGAAGTGTTAAATGACTTGCCTGAGGCAGTCCCACTGACAGGTGCCAGAGAGGGTTTTAAACCCTGTCCTCCTACCTCAGAGCTAGAGCAGCTTGCTCTTCTGTACTTCTGTACTGCACCCCACTGTCTCCATCCTCTGCTCATCTAAGCTGGAGAGCAGAAACAAAAAAGCCCAGTGTCACCTTGTCTGACCTCAGCTGGGAACTTGTGTGATCAGCTACTGGAATTTTCCACCACTCTGCACATGCCCACGAACAGTTGGAAAAGTACCAAGAGTATTGACTTTGGGGTTCCAAATCAGTTTTAGTGAGAAGATGAATCTGCAAATTTGGGATAGGTGGCTCATGAAGATTGACTGTATTTAAGCTTATTTGATTCATGTTATAAAGTCTGTATTTAGTTTAGAAAGGAACTTTGACTTCTCAGTAGAGAAGCAGATATTTTTAAAGTTAGATTGCCTTTTATGTCTCATCGGCTTTAAACTGTAGGATAACTATTTGAAGTGAAGTAGAATAAAACAATGTTATAAAGGTTGAAGAAAGCCAGACAGAAAAAAAAATGCAGGTTTCTATTATAGAAGTGCATGTATATGTTGACATTTACTATGGTGTTGTTAGTTTATTTTATACCATTGTCTCTGTGTAGTGCTTGGCAGCATCAGTGTCATCCTTTTAGATGCAAAAACATTCCAACTGGCAAGGATTTGGCAATGTTGATATCATAGGAATTCCAGTCATAAAGTCATCAGAACCATTAAAATGATTGTGCAGATCTTACTCAGATTAAAATGAATAGTGTGTTTTCCAAAGTGAATTGTATTACAGCCAATCATTTTGGAAGATCATAAGCATTGCATTTATTATAAAATATTTGATTTTTTTCCATTGGTTTATATTCTGTGAGAAAAATTGATAAGGAGAAAACATTTTTGTCTGACAATTTGTTTTGTTGGATGTTAATTTCATAACTTAACTAAGGCATTCAAAGTCATCCTTTCTCATTTTGCTTTGTTGTTGTTTTAGTTGCTCAGTTCTATACAACTCTTTGTGACCCCATGTACTGTAGCTTGCCAGACTTCTCTGTCTATGGGATTTCCCAGGCAAGAACATTGGAATGGGTTGTCATTTCCTTCTCCAGGGGAAATTTTGCTTTAGTGAACAATGAAATATGAATTAATGCATTGATCTCTAAGGCAGCATTATAAATATTGTAGGAATGTATTATAGGCATTTATGTTAATTTCTTTGTAGCATGAAATGCTACTTTTAAATGCTTAAAAAACTTCAGTAAACAGTTCTCCTCCTGAAATTTTTTTCAATCCATTGTTTCTTGATCAAGAAGTTGATTTGTAGTCACAGATTTCGCCTGAATGGCTTTGAAACAATTTCTTCACATTAATTGTGAATAATATCAGTTCAGTTCATTTCAGTCGCTCAGTCATGTCCAACTCTTTGCGACCCCATGGACTGCAGCACGCCAGGCTTCCCTATCTTTCACCAGCTCCCGGAGCTTGCTCAAAGTCATGTCTGTAGAGTCGATGTTGCCATCCAACCATCTTATCCTCTGTCGTCCCCTTCTCCTCCTGCCTTCAATCTTTCCCAGCATCAGGGTCTTTTCAAATGAGTCAGTTCTTTACATCAGGTGGCCAAAGTATTGAATGTTCAGCTTCAGCATCAGTCCTTCCAATGAATATTCAGGACTGATTTCCTTTACGATGGATTGGTTTTATCTCCTTGCAGTCCAAAGGACTCTCAAGAGTCTTCTCCAATGCCACAGTTCAAAAGCACATCAGTTCTTTGGCACTCAGCTTTCTTTATGGTCCAACTCTCACATCCATACATGACTACTGGAAAAACCATAGCTTTGACTACATAGACCTTTGTTGGCAAAGTAATGTCTGCTTTTTAATATACTGTCTAGGTTTGTCATAACTTTTCTTCCAAGGAGCAAGTGTCTTTTAATTTCACGGCTGCAGTCACCATCTGCAGTGATTTTGGAGCCCAGGACACTAAAAACAGGACAGTGTTTCCATTTGTTTCCACATCTATTTGCCATGAAGTGATGGGGCTGGATGCCATGATCTTTGTTTTTTGAAGTATTTATAGTAGTCTAATTAAACTAGAGCCAGTTCTCTAAGAAATGCTATAGATATCTGTGAGCAGAAGTAACTCAAAGTTAGATCCTTTTAATGAAAGGCAAAAGTGAGTCCACCTTAATAATTTGGAACACAGTTTGGAAATTCTGTATCCCAATTTTACCATGATTTTTTTCATACAATGTTCTGAAATGGTTTTAGTTAGACCTAACATTCCAGAATTATTGAAGCCATAGATTCTCAAGCTTCAGGTAAAGATATCTTTTTTTTATGTTATGCTTCCCACATCAAAAGCAAAACTGAACAAGTATGAAAGCATTTATAATTTAATTTTGAAAAGGAAGGAAACTTTGGAAATACTCATCCAAAACAATTCCAGCTCAGCCTGAAGTATCACTTAAGAAGTTTGTCTACCACAGTCTCAAACTTTATTGATCATTGTTTCCCATATAGACTCTTCCATTTGTATTTATAACACTGTACTGTCTTAATTCATATTTCAAAGCTTCCTGTGAGAAAAGAAACATAAAGATGCAGTGACATTGAGCACTGGGTCAGGGAGAGCAAGCATAGTCAGGTTTTGGCAGATTAGCTCTCAAAGAAAAAATTAGAGCTGCTAGTTTAAAATACTGCATATTTACTCCTGTGCATCTCTGTAAAGACTGTCTCCCAGACCAAAAGCAAGGGTGAGACTTACAAAGGCTAAAGACACACAATTTCTCAAGGAAAAGGGCTGGTCGTTGGTATGTCATTTCAGCACTGATATGGACAGCTGAGCTGCTAATTCATACATTGAGTTGTGATCAAATCGTCTCAAGCTCACCAAAGAGGCTGCTCCTCTGACAATTCAGAACAGATTTGTTAGAAGCATTGCTGTAGCTCCTTCTGGGGTCCTGATGGCTTGCTCTGTGGCCTGGTCTCTAGGTCTAATCATCCAATTAGCTTATGGAGATTTTTTAAAACACTTTTTTTGTTCTCTTATGTTATATATGTTACGTATGTTAAGAGAACAAAAAAAGTGTTTTAAAATCTCCATAAGCTAACTGGATTTTTTTTCCTTAGTTCTTACAAATATTCTTGTTTTTCCTATTTTAGTGCACACACTGCACTTCCCCACTAATGTTAAAACTCTGCATGAACTCATAAATGGCATATGAGAAGTGCTGACTGTTTTTTCAAGTGGTAGCTTTAAGACCCAGTGAGTAATATTTCCTGTCCCCATTCCCTGCTACAATTATTAGAGAGGCACATTTAGGAATGGAGGCCTCCTTCACCAAGGAACTCTGAGTGTATCCTCTCCACCTAGAATGGACATGTATTGTGAGCAAGAAGTAAACTGTTGTGTTAATCCACTGAGATGTGGGGTTGTTAACTATAGCATGACCTAGCACATACTAATGGATGCTCCTCTTCAGAGCCACTTCAGTTAATGTCTCCCCACATGATAAATAATCTCTTCTCAAATGAGACATGAAGTACTGAAATTATCTTTCAGGTGGCGTTAAAAAAATGATTTCCTGTTAAAAATTTTTAAAAAATGTTTCCGTAAACTGCTCTTCTTAAGCAATGCATACATATAAAACAATACATTTGAAAGCACATGCATGCGGAAACTATATTTATCACATATTTTGCTTTATGGGAACATGATCCATGAGCACAAGTAAGAGCAGTTAAGAAATTTTTATTCTAATTAAATCCCAAGAATTATCAGAAAGAATCAGGACAGGAGACTGATTTTAGTCACACTAAAATTGAGTGATAGATAGATCAGCAGTGCTCAGAAAGGAGCACTTTGTAAATAATTTCCTTCAGTGATATGACTTGCTATTTTTTCCAGCAGCGTTGAATTATTTATCACTCAATAGATTTTTACTAAGTGGCACCTGAAGCATTTTTTTTAGTACTGGAGAAGTATTGGGATAAATAAGTCACAGATCTGGCCCTAAGGTTGCCAGCCATCAAGCAGAGAAGAAGAAAAAAAAATCTTGAGTGCATTCAGTAGTATGTGTTATACTGAGAAAATAATACATACACACACACACACACACACACACACACGTGTGTGTGTGCATGTGTTCTATGAGCTGATTGGCAAGGAATATCACTGTGTAGATATTTTTGTGATTTATATGGAAGAGAAGACACTGTTGGAGAAAAATGAGGTCCTGGTAACTTTTTTTCCATGCATACACCATGTTCTCCTTTATCATGTACAGATTGGGATCTGAAATAATAATACGATCTGATGGCCAGAATCTGGAACAAGGGGAGAACTCTCCTACAAGTGTAGAAGGATCATGGGAAGAGGGAATAGCAGAAGCTTTGGGGGAGTAGGGGACAGTCAGGTGAGGGGAAACCACCAGGGAAGCCCAGAATTACAAGGCATTTGGTTATAAATATGGACTATGGGGTTAGCATAGGAAGGTGTGAGCTCAAGTTGAAGAGGTGTTGAAGTGTTTACCATTCTACTTTGTACTCATTTCTTATAGAGTACTTTGCATGG